CCTCACAGACGGTCTGGACGTTACGGAGAAGAGAGATCTCTTGCCCCGATACGCAGTGAGACGTGGACAGAGCCACAGGTGTTCTTGAAGACAAACATCTGACGAAAGTAGAATGTCTTATTAGCACGGAAATAATAATAATTAATAATAAACTCTGATATACAAGGAAAACAAAGAAAATTACATTTTATGAAAAACCTATTACGCTGAAATCTATACTGATGAACCCCAACAATTTTGTCTCCATACAAAACGTTGCCAGAATAATGCCTAATAACATTTTTATGTAGTGATATGAGTGACAGTCATCGACAATTACTACAACCCCTTTCGTTTAACTCTTTTCGAAAGACAGGTACTTGTTTGAAACTCAGATAATCCAATGTCAAATAAAATTGCCAGATTAGAAACCTGATTAAACTGTGTTTAGATTACTAGCCGGGGAAGTGGTGACACAGTTCTGGTGGAGACATAAATACATTACTTACATAAAACAGTCGCTGAAAAGGAATTCCGTGTAGAAGTCTATAAAGCCTGATATCCTGTACCAGACTTCCAGTCGTACAAATAGATTTATAACTGTATAATATATTTTAATTTAGTTGTTGGGATAGCACGTCGGACTCGTTCGCAGATCGAATCCTTGTCGAGTGCAACTCTTATTGCTCGTGGCTGTAAATATTTCGCAGGTTATTATTATTATTGCGACTGAGCCGATCACCGTGGCCGCGCGGTCTAAGGCACGGGCAGCTTTCACTCACTAGAACGCTGGGATAGTGGGTTCGAATTCCAGCCGAGGCATGGCTGTATGTGTGCGTTTATTCTGTGTTTGTGTTGTTCTATGAGTGGGTAGATGCCTTCCGACGGCCCAAGGTTCAAGGGCTGCAGAGCCATAGAGAAAGAATTTGGGGCTGAAACTGTTCGTTTTAATCATATTTTATAATTACACCTCTTCATAACTAATCAGTATAACATTGACCGTATACGATGCTCTAAGTGAATACGCTACACATGGCTTCTGTGCTGGGTTTGTTTTCGTCCTTTGCTTGTGCATGCTTTACGATATATACGAGTAGCTGGACTTGAGGCTGTTGCGCCAGCACGTAAATATTGAAGGAACAAGTACAGATTGTTGCCTGCGTTAAACTTGACAGATGCAACCTCAAATCCAGTCGGACTGAGCCATTAAGGATCACGAAAAGAAGGGTAAATAAACGAAAACACATCCAACGCAAAATAAACGTAAAGATGTTTAACTTAGCAAGTACATGTACAGCTTCACTTCCCAGAATTTCCATACAAAGCGACACACAGGGCAGTGCACTTCCGTGTTCAACCCCTCCCCCACCAGGAAAGTAAGAAGAAACTGTAAAATCGTGCTTCATAACGGATTGTGTCAGGGTGATGCAGACATGGGGCGCAGAGCGTAGGAAAGCACTTGAACAGAGCCTCGTGACACTTCCAGTCGTTACCAGTGAAATTAATTGCGGTTTCTTACAGCTTTCGTTGCAGTGTCCTCAAGCAAGTCCTGCGACGTACTGTAATTCCTAATGAAGGTTCTGGATTATGTACTTAGCAGCAAGCATAGCCTGACAAATGACCGAACTGATTCCTTAAACAAACAGACAGATATGTGTACATGTATATACACATACATAGGAGCATCACTCTTGGTGCGTGTCATCACATTCTGACACTGGTCTCGACGCCCGAGACCCTTGTAAAGGGATATTTAGTTCCGGGGAAACGAAAAGATCGAATGAGATGCGATCTGACGTGTGGTGCTGGGCGCGATATGCGCCCGCCCTCTCCCGGCAACCAGACGCCGTACATGTTCCAAAATCTGAAGGCAGAATGCTCGAGTTGACCAAACTGACAGTGAATGATGTTTGTAAGTAAGAAACAGGCAAATACTGTTTCATCCTCTGGGTCTGAGATTTGCGTTTCCTCCTATTTCGTGACTCTGCTTTCTTGCAATGAAGATGCTGAGGGTCTGTTTCTTGGATGTGCTGAAAGACTGAGTTCTTATCGCCAATCCTCATTCTTTTTCAACTTCTCTCTAAATCTTGCGAGAAGTCCCAGTAAGTTGTTATTCTCGTTATATTCGGTCGTCGCTGTTTTTTTTCGGAGCTATGTTCATATTCACATTCGGACCTCAGGCTTTATGTGTTTATGTCCAGTTCTGCTGTGTTATGGAGGGTCAATCAACGACCGTTCCTTACCATTTCAAGTCACCTTTCCACATTCTGATCAGTTCCAGAAGCTGTCAAACTTATCTTTCGCTTCTGCAACGTCTACCTTTCCTCCTCGAAATCGCGTAATTCATACAAAAGCTTTGTTGCATGCACTGTTCCCTCTCCACAGACGGGCTGCAACACTTTATGAATGTCAGCCACATTCTTCTGCAATTATACCAAATACATAATGTCGATTCTCTGTTCTAGTAATTCATAACCATTTTTGACAAAAAAAACACATGTTGCGACAAATACAGCACACTGTAACGACAAAACACGACAAATGCTAATGAGTGTTTTGAGCGAACTTGCTGAATCATGTAGCCAAATTATCACTATTGTCAACTGCTGCACAAGCTTTCAGCTTTCAGATGTCTCGATTATATCTGGAGCGGTAGATTATAGGGCAGTGTACTGTACTTTCACAATGGCCAAAGAACGGATTTCCGTCTGTTGTGTTCTACGTAAGAAACACGTATGAAGTCCCCACTCTCTGAAACTTAACGTCTCAGGTTCAGTTTATGCGAACATGGTTCTGTGGCCAGATTCTCAGCCCAGAGAACTGAGTTGGGGAGCGGATACAAACAAACAAGGAGTCCTGTATTACGCACTTTTTGTCAGGTAGTGTAATTACGTAATGTTATTAAGGGTGAAGAGATCTCTTGTGCAAGCAAGAAGGTGGGAAACAGTGTTGAGTGGGAATAGTTGCAGGAAGTGATGAATATTATACAGCACTTGGTAACTGCCGCTCCCGTAACACCAGGCTGCGTACAACGGAACATTTCTCAATTCTAAAATAGTATCTTGTTATAAGGTACAAGAAGAACACCAAGTCCTTCGCCGTTGGCTGCCCACTGCAAAAGATTGAATTGTTGCAGACGAAGAGGCAGAAGTAGGTTGCGAATGCGTTACTTTCGTTGTCATTTCATAGATCCGCTTGTCACTAGTGAGACGCGCAAGGGGACTCTTGCTGAGAGAAGAGGTGTCAAAGGATTCGCAAAGAAGTAGGAAGCTGTCAGGAAACCCGGCAGGAGATGTGGTGTGCTTCACGCTCCTGTCGCTTTATCTCCAGGGATAGAGCTCCCGGTACCCATTGGGTAGGAGGCTGAATGGGGCCCCAGAACTTGTCTGGACTACGTAGAGAGGAGAAAATTGTTGCCCCTCACCGGGACTCGAACTCCGACCCCTCGGCCGTCCAGCCCGTAGCCAGTCGCTATACCGACTACACTATCTCGGCTCCAATGATCTGTTATATGTTCAGTTATTGAAGAAATTATCAAGGCCCGCGAACACAAATTAGTTTTGGAATTAGTTGTGGAATCATATGCACTATGGTTTCATGCACCAAACGAGAAGAAACGCTGTTTAGAACCGGCAAACGTCAAGAAGATGGTTGAATTTGGTTTGACTTGCATGCAGTTTCATGCTTGAAATAGTTTCCCACAGATGCTTTGAAATAAGGAAACAAATTATATCCCCCTGGAAGAGAATTTAGAGAACGGGAAGTGGTGTAACTCCCCGCACCATTGTGGTGTAATTGCCGACGACAAGCCTATCCTCTACCGCCGTTTCACTTTATCTTCTTATTTCAGCGAACCTTTACCAAATTCTTTACTACAATGTAACAGATTTACATTATGCAGCTAATAAGGTGGATACATTGTTGTAAACATCTTATCTCACTAATGTACAACCGTCAATACAATACAGCGTTGTTTAATTAACTTGTTTGCATTAATAGTGCATGATTGTGAAAGCTGTAACCAGGCATTCTGAGTTCGACAGTCGGAGAGCACAAAGGCGTCGGTAGAGGCTCTCTGGCGGACTTCACTATTGACGCCGGAGCCAGTCAGGTAACGCGATTAGAGTCAAAATTTAAATGTGCTCTCGTTAACTCATTCGCGTCAGAGAGCGATCGCTGGCCAGACTGCATAGTGGTACACGTTACAAGTAGGTTGTTTCGAATTCTTTTATGAGAATGGTTAATAATTTAGTATTGAAGAATTTCTTGTGATCGTTGATTGGGACCTGTGCAAATTGCTTTCAGTGACAAGAGTAATTAACATCAAGTTTGTAGTGTTTCCTCCTCGCTACCCTGACTACACGCAAGTTCGTTGGGATTAGCCTCGAGCTCTACAGTTGGGCTACTCTGTAAACAGGAACAGCTGCAAGGAAACGGCGCTCTGAATTTGGTTTCAGCTGCTGGTGACTGCATACGGTCGAAACATGTACTGTGTCAAGTAGTGCTGGCACTGTTCATGTTCACGGTTCTTGATAATTATTTGATCAGAAATCGAATTGCCTTCTGTGCGTGTCATGCGTTCATGTGGCGTCGAAGAAACGTGCGTATATGAATGTTGCGACTTCCTGTATTTGTTTCGTTGTAGAAACGGGTATCACGGATGACAGTACGACTGATGTAGAGGTCAGTTTTCAGACGCGATCTTTGTGCTTGTTGCATCGAACTACTAATCGCGGAGTCTGTTTCCATCCAGTTCGTAGCTGTGGCTTTTCTTTTTGTTTGACTGTGCTGTCAGTATCCGGGTGGAAGGAAGTGCTGAGGCACTGTCTCGATATTTTCCTGCAGGGATGAAGGGACTCAACCAGGGGGGTGGATGTCCCGAATACAAACCGGAAGTCGCGCCGCCCGAGCCTGCCCGTCTTCCAGAAGCTGCTGGCTACAGTCAAGCACTGGTATTCTAGCAAGTTAATATCAACAATTCATGTTCTGCTTGCTGATAATGAAGTTGTATTTTTTTGCAGAAATTCACTAGCCATGAGGTAGAGGTAGTATGGGCCGAGGCGGGCGCAAGTTGGCGCTCTGTCTGACCGTCGCGCTGTTTGCAGCGTGGGCACTTTATCGTCTGCTGACCTCTTGTGCCGTCTGGTACGACCATAGACCCATTATGATGCCCAGAAATGTGAGTACTCGTTACTTTATGAGCAAAAGACTTCTGTTGCACTTTCCTTCTACGTCATCTTCACAAATTAGGCTCTCTGCTCTCTTGCAATACAGAAATTACTTCTGAAACTAGGAATCTGTTAAGACATTTCGTAATACTTAGTATTTTATTTTTGGTTCATTTGACAGCACTGTCGGTAGTTTAGTTTTGTGGCATTGAATTGTCTGATGGTGAGTGAGTAGAGATTTGGAAATGATGTGGAAAGAAACTGCCATGGCCTAATTTGACATGCTATCCCAGAATTTGCGTAGAAGGAGCAAGGGAAACCACCAGGGCAGTCTCCGTCACGACCGAGACTTGCAGTGAGCACCACCCATGTGTAGGTCAGAAGCGCTGCTGCTTGAGCCAACTTTGCTTGGCGGTAGGGCTCGCCTTAAGATTGGCCCATCACTTCACACAGGACAACATTGGCACAAAAGAAACGCAGGCGTATATCCATTGCTCCAGAGGGATTCCAGTCCAGGATCATAGTGCTCGAGTGGTCGAAAACTGCTCCGGTCACTTAGGTGGTTGTACTTTTATCCCACTGATATATCAGACCATAATACTAGATATTTTTGCCTGTGTACCTTGCCAGTTCATTCTGTTGCATTGTGAAGCTCATAACTCATTCAATGGATTTTTATGAAATATGGTACCGAAAGACTATTTTTAAGGTTCTGATATGAATTGGATTGATCTGGTTCAGTGTAGGACGTAGAAGTGACATTTTGTGACTGTTTAATTCCAAAGAAGTGGAAATTTATTAAATGCGTAACTAATAACTACAACTTCTGCTGTTCAGGGTCTAGATTCATCATATTTTTCAGTTATCTGGCGAAGAATCTATGGAATAGAACAGTAATTGAGGCACACGTTTGCAGTTTATTGAACTCTCCGTGTTTCTCATAAATTTGATTTGGAGTGCCGCATTTTCTAGCTCAAAATACTGTCTGTTTGGGAGGGCGTGTCTAACTCTCGAACCATACACTACCTGCTGCATGATCCTGAGACACTTCAGTTCAGTTCCCATTCTCACAAACTGTTCCTGCAAAGTCCTGGTTAATATTATCATTCCATATCTCAGTTTTCCAAGTGGCTGCTTCCAGGAAGTTTACTCGCCAAATTCCTTGCATATGTCTAGTCCATTAAGTCTTGATCCATCCAAATGAAGCTTGTGACTGTATGCATCACGAAGTACCTCAGTTTGCAATATACTTTTTAAATTCATCAGGGACTCCCATGTTTCCTAATATCACTCTTCATCGCCTTTTACGCCTTTCATACAGTCTTCTCATTCCCGCTTTTAAAACAGAGAATGTAGTTAAATTTTTATCCTTCAGATGGCACAGTTTCGCAAACACAGCTGCCATCTGTGAAACTACATAAAAATTACTATAGCGTGCGATCAATGTAAAATAAGCATGGTGTAAAATAAAACAAGAAAATAAAGCAATTTTACTATTAACTCAGATATATGTTTAGACAGTTTGTCTTGGGAGAATGGGACAAGGAATAAGAACATACCTATAAGCTGCCTACTGATGCCAAATCTGAATCTGTATCTCTACGTGAAACACTTTTAACGCTCCTCCAAGACCAATTAAAAAGGTTAGCTTTGTGATTACATGCAAATTTACATTTGAAGGTATCTGGTTTGATTTTCAGCCATCAGAATGTTCGTATAGTTTCAAAAATGCCTACAACAGGCCTCACTACATCATCTTTCATTCCTTATGATCTTGAAATCTCCTATTGAATGCTACATATATAACCTTACCAATCAATATAATCAATATAGCGTTGTTAATTAATTAAATAGTCATGAACTGGATTATTAGCCGGATGATTGCAACTGACGACTGTAATGCAATACTTGTTAGAAGTAATAAGGCGTACCTTTGCAGGTTTATATAAAATGAAAATTCCTGCATCACTGTCAATTTGTACTGAATGTAAAGCAACTATCCTTTCCAAACTGATTAGTATTTTCACTTCCAGTTACGTCAAAGGGTAAAGGAAAAGAGAAGTTAAAGGTAGAAGGTGCCACTAGACAAATGTCATGTAGTTTAGAACAAAATACTAGCATCACAGAGCACTAAATATGACAAGGGATACTGGTGGTACATCAAGAAATTTTTAATGTGCACCCTTTTTAGGGTTCAAAAAGAGCAGAGTGGCTGAAATCAGAATTTGTATGAAATATTAGGTTGAATGAATTTTATGTGAGGTCTGCCTAGTTTAATAACCAGACTTACATATTGTAATTAGAAATATTATTCCGGTATATAAACACTAGCCAATGTAGCAGTCGTAACACATGAATACAGGTGAATGTAAAGAAGTCAGGTATCTGATAATTGGCTTAATAGGCAAAAAAATGTTGTAAGACACAATGAATGTATGGCTGGTCCATTCTACCTATTGTGGTGACAGAATAAAATAAAGAGATTACTTATTACCAAATGCACATCACCATGGCATAGTTTCAAGAGAGTGAACACTCAGGAAGAAATTCTAATTTCTCTTAGTTTGTCATTTTGCACTTTAAAGGACATCAGAGAGTTCTGTAGTGGTGTTTCTTTAGAACTACTGAACTTGGAATATTGCAGAAGCTGACAGAATCATCTCTTTCCTGCAAATTAGTTTGTCTCAGGCTCTGTGAACTATAGAGAAGCCCTACTAATTACAGGTTACTGCCTGTATGTTATGGTACTTTATTATTATTCTAATTCTCAAAGCATGAATTTAATGATTTTGGGACTGTCTTAATTAAATGAATTGAAGTTTCTCTGTCATATTCTCCTGAAATATTTACAAGGAAGGAAGCTGTGTTTTTGTGGCAAATTTAGACTGTTCAAAACTGATGCATATGTTGGTAATTTCTGGTTTAAAAAACATGTTTTGGAATCTGGCCCTGCTTCATCATCAGTTAAAAATACTTTCACATGCATGAGTGACTACAGACGGGGTTTGGATTGGTAATTGGATTTATTGACCACATATATATTGTAACTACAGCACTCTATAATTTACTACAGCACACACTAAGTCTTTTCAGTCTACTGTGCCTTCATCAGTTGTTGCTCGGCAATAACTTCCAACAGTGGACGTTCCCCTTGCACTGAGTCCCGAACTATCCCCATGCTTCAGCTACCAGCTTCTTACAGCAACAGCTCACAATGACTGAACTGCAGTTCTCTAACTCAGTAACCAACTCACTTCACTCCACTGTACTCGGCTGCAGTGCACTCACTAACTTCCAGGCTGACAGCCATCTCATACTAACCAGCTACACTTCTGATTGACTCCAACTCAGCTGACTATAACACCTCAGCATGGACCGCTTAGAAAACATGGCAACATGTTTGTCTGCAGAGCTGCTGTATATTTGCTTTTGTTTTTTATTGCTAGTGGGATGGGACTAAGTCCCTTGTACTGTGGCCACTTCTGGCCTATTGTACTAGCCCCAGATGATAGATGAGGGTGATTGTGGAGCAATTGGTGGAACGAAGATTGGCAGGGGAAACCAAAGTGCTTGGAGAAAACCTGCCCCAGTGCCACTTTGCCCACCACAAATCCCACTTGACCAGACCCGGGTTTGAACCCGGGCTGCTGCAGTGGGAAGCCAGCGACTGACAACGTGAGCTATGGCGCGGCCTGTGTATATTTGCTTAGTGTGCGTTATTTATAGAGCCATTGCTTAACTGGGTCTACAGGCTACAATATGATACCTACTTTGCTGGGTTTCATATTTCCGCAACAGAGCCACCTTACAAAATGTTTGTTTTTACTCAAAAAAGGTATGAAGAGAAGTGTCAAACATATGTATCAGTTTAATAACACACCTTCATCACAGATCTTTGGACTTATCATACATGTTCCATTTTCAGCAGTTAATCTGAAATAAACCATACATTTCAGACATACATCTTGGGAGAGAACAGGAAGGTATACCCATATGATAGGTATATGCCACTCATCTTCATTGGTGGAGTGCCCCGCTCTGGCACGACCCTCATGCGAGCCATGCTTGATGCACACCCGGAAGTCAGGTGAGTAGTGACACATTTTGTGGGATCAAGGAAACTGTTGTTGACATCTTTAGATAAATGCCCACTCATCTCATGGACTGACTGAATTAGGTATTTTTATTGAAAGAATATGTGGATTTTGTCCAAGAATGATACAGAGGAACAGTGAAACCATTTAATCAAATGTCTTGAAAATGACAGTGTTGGACTCAACAGTGAATGAGGTGATTACAAAGCCTAAGAAACTTAACATGAAGTTCTCCATATTAAGCAATTATCGTGACATAACTTTTCATTAAATGAACAGACTTTTCAGAGACTTGCCTTAAAATGAAATCATTATCATTGGAATCTAAGAAGCCAACACTGTGCAAATATAGAATTTATGAGTAATACAGATGTATTATAGCACCATTTTAATAATCCTCCTCTACACAGATGTGGCCAGGAGACACGTGTTATTCCTCGAATTCTTCAGATGAGGTCTCACTGGCTCAAGTCACAGAAAGAAAGTGTTCGATTAGAAGAAGCAGGCCTATCAAAGGAGGTAGGTAATGATTCAACAGGTCGCTGATATATGGCTTTTTTAAGTTTGGTAATTGAACCGTAAATTTGTTTAGAGATAATAATGAACTCAAGGAGTGGTGCAACATAAATTGGAAGTGTTTCAAACAAACTGCAGTGTGTGATTCATATCAGTCTGTCAAAAGACAACCTAGTACCCAAACACGCTACAATATCTTCTCCTTATTTTATTGTGGACAAGTTCCTCTATTAAAGCTTCTGTCTCCTTCTAACTAACTCTTAGGAACCAAATTCTCTTTGAGAAGCCACCAGTCGCTCAGCTACTTGCAAATTTCCCAACATTTTATGGAAGCCAAAGGTTCATTACTGTGTTCACAAGAGCCTCCCACTGATCCCTGTCCTCTCCCAGGTTAATTCAGTCCATATCACTTGTAAGTGTCTTCCCATTGGTGAACTTACGCCACGTGTTGGTCACTACTTGTGACTGTCTTATGCCCGACTTGATTGTGTGTCTCTCCATCAGGAGATGTCCAAATAAATTTGTGAGCGTTACAATCTGGGAACATTGTACTCTTGACAATTAGATTTTTGGATGTGGAAAAGTTTACTATTGTAACTCCATTATCATTTCCAATTTCGTGGAAACTCTCATTTCCAGTTTTTGGTCTGAAAATATCTTCTGTACCTACTTTGGCATTGAAATCTCCTAACAGAATTGTTATGTGGTGCTTAGGGAATTTTTATCACATAATCTCATACACTATCATTACTATTTTGTTATGTTATTAAAGTTATTCTCTGATTCCCATAATGTCCAATTTAGTACTTCATAATGTCAGTAGATCAGTGAAGGTCGCAGTGGGAGAGCCAGTTTTTATGGCTCACCCCTCATGCTCACACTCATAATCATAGTACTTCATAATTTACTGCTGGTTTGTTAATATTTTTGTGTAATAATACAGCATTTATGCATGTAGGAATAGTACACAAATAAAGTGACTCTTGCAGGAATAAATATAAGACTGACATTACTACATGAAGGGTTAATCTAGGATGATATTCTCTGGCTGGATCCTGAATGACCATAACCCTTACCTTTTATAAAGCTTTTAAGTTTGTGATGAGGAAGTACCAGATTCACATTGTTTCAGAGCCCATAGTACATTCTTCTAGTGATCCTCTGTCATTTTTGTCATTATACTCGTATGTCATCCTGTCATCGTCATGTTCTCTCAAGTAAATATTACCAAAATGTGACAGAGTTAGGCAGAATGCGTCACTGCCAAATGCCTCCAGCATTAAGAAACAAACTGAAATTTATTCACTTCCATTCACATCTGATTATAGGTATTGGATTCAGCCATTGCTGCTTTCTGTCTGGAAGTGATAGCAAGGCATGGAGATCCAGCGCCACGGCTGTGCAACAAAGATCCTCTCACATTTAAGTCTGCATCTTACCTCTCTGAGCTTTTCCCCCAAGCCAAGTTTATTTTTATGTTACGAGATGGCCGTGCCACTGTGCATTCCATCATATCCAGAAAGGTGAGGAGTACAATCTAGTATGAATTTTTTGTATCTCTTGGCACTACATACTCTTAAATTTTTCAGTTTTCTTTTCTTTTTTTTATTGTATATTGCCCTCTTAATCAATTCAATGTAAAGTACATCTTATGTTCTGGGGACTTGGTAATCTTCTTATGTTTTGTTTGGGAGTGGCCAGCTTTGATAGATGGAGTATAAAGTATGTCTTTGAAGTAAGGGACCAATGTGCTGATATTATGAATATTTGAAGATTGACTTTTATAGTAGAATACAAGGTGCTATCGGTAAGTCCTCGGACTGTTACTGTTGTAATTGGCTCGGTGAAAGGAGATGAAAGGCGAGCCCAAGGTCACACTTCCACAAGCCTTCCTTCAGTCTGCCACATGACACTGCACTGTGAAAATGCTTTCTTTTTACAAGAGTGCTTTTTTGACTTTGTGTTTCATTTTGTCTGTGATGGATGTCAAAATCAAGCAACCTGTCTTCATCAAGTTTTGCATTACGCTCAGCAAATCCGCTGCCAAAACCCTTGAAATGCTTTGTGAAGCTTTTGAAGAACATTCTTTAAGCTGGACAGCGGTTTTTGAATGATATTCATGTTTCAAGGCTGGTTGAGTGTCCGTTGAAGATAATGAACGTTCAGGACGATCAAGCACCAGCAAAACGACAGAAAATGTTAAAATTTTGAGAACTCATCCATGAAGACCATCATCAAATAATCCGTGAGCTCTCAGACACCATTGGGATCTGTTGCAGGGTTTGCTGGGAGATTTTAACAGAAAATCTGAACATGTACCGCGTTGCCACGAAGTTTGTTTGCTGTCTTTTGACAAATGACCAAAAGCAGCGGCGCATAAATGTATGTCTTGCGGTAAGAGAGAAGGCTAACAAGGACCCAGCTTGTATCTCTAGGATCACAGTGGGTGACAAAAGTTGGATTTACGGTTATGATCCAGAAAGAAAGCAACAATTGTTGCAGTGGAAGAGCCCACAGTCAGCAAGAGCAAAAAAAAAAGGTGCTGCAGGTTCCGGAGTTCAACAAAGAGCATACTCATTGTCTTTTTTGATGTGAAAGGGATTGTTTCTGTGAATTTGTTCCTCTTAACACTACGGTCAACTTTGATGTTTACTGTAATGTTCTGAGAAGCTTGAGAGAAAATGTGCAAATAAAAAGACTGAAAATTTTGCTCAACCACAGCGGGCTTCTTCATCACGACAATGTGCCGCCCACACTTCCCTGAAAACCACAGAGTTTGTGACTAGCAACAACATGGTTATCATTCCCCATCCTCCCTACTTGCTGGACTTTGCCCCCCGTGACTTCGCTTTGTTTCCCAAATTGAAAATGAAACTGAAGGGACGACATTTTGAAACAGTGTCTGACATCCAGAGGGAATCACAAGCGGTACTCAACCGTATTAAGGAAAATTACTTCCACGGTGCTTTTGAAGCATCAAAAAACAACAGGAGATGGCAGGCAAAATTGAGTAAGTTAAACCAGCATTTCTTTTTTGACGTCCAGGAAATTTCTGATAGCACCTCATATGTCTTATGGAAATGCAGTCATGCTGAAGGTGAAAATAGAGCTTCCAGCATAAGAGACTTTTGAGGTCTTTGATGCTGGAAGTGGGATGCAAGTACATTATAGTATAATTCACCATTGAAGTCATCGTGGTTTACTTTGTGGTCCAGAGATAAGGGCTAGCTCTATCAGTTGGGCCCATCTGAGTATGTTTTACCTAAAGGTGGAGACTGAATGCAGTTTCTGAAATGTTGCGTTTTAAAATATAAACAGGTCTTTGTTTTTAGATAAAAACAGGACGATGGATAATGTCCAGAAACATGATACAGGGTTAGCCTAAAAGAAATAGACACTTTCAAAGTTTTACAGAAAGAAGAGTTTTAATAGCATGGCTGAGATACTTACATGGTTGGAAAAATACGCCCTGAAGTTTACATGGGTAAGTTACAAGTGTTCTATATGTGACCCTTTTGTAACACGACAAATATCAATGCGATAGTCTTGTTCTTCCCAAACGCTTCTCAGCATGTCCACGTCAGCAGTCGCAGCAGCTATTGTGATGCATTGTTTAAGATTGTCCACACTTGTGGGGAGTGGAGGAACATAAAACTCTGTCCTTTATGTAGCCCCATAAGAAGTAGTCACAGGGTGTTAAATCCAGACTTCTTGGTGGCCAACATGTAAGAGCCATGTTCTGGGTGGTTGGACGTCCAATCCAATGCTGAGGCAATTTTTCGTCCAGGTAATTTCTAACCAGTGGTATCTCCACCTTGTCGTGGTGGTGGGGTTTGAGAGCTCCTGAGACCCTGAGAGCTATGCTGACGGTAGCGTAGCTACTGGTAGGGCCACCCATGCTGGACAGGTCAAGGTGTAGGAGCCAGACAGAGAGGGATACCCTGGTCCTCCAGGTTGGGGGTTGGGCATGAGGCCAATAACCTCACACCATAAAAACTAAATTGTTCAGAAATCCGAGGAAAGAGTAGCCAGATGGACCTATTCAAGACGACCTGGAAAATGTTTAAAGGATTTGAGAATTGGATCTTGGAATGTATTATCTCTTTACAGAGCTGGAGCACTAAAAATGCTACCTGAACAACTTGATAGCTGTAAACTACATATCACTGCTATACAAGAACTGAGATGGTTGGGTAAAGGAGTCAGGGAAAAGAGGGATCATGTTGTATTCTATAGCTGTCAGAAGAAGAGTCACATGTTTGGAACAGGTTTTATTGTTTATAAAAAAAGGAAGCATCTTATTTTAGACTTCCAGGCGAAATCTCACAGAACATGTAGGCTACGAATTAAGGGAAAATTTTTAACTATAGCCTTATTTGTGTACATGCCCCAACTGTACATAAAAATGATGAGGAAAGAGACTCTTTTTATGATGAATTGGATGAAATATATGGCGAATGTCCGAAAAGGGAGTGTAAAATAATCATAGGGGACATGAATGCTAAAGTGGGGAATGCGAATGTGTATAGATCGGTTATTGGAAAACATGGCCTACATAACAAGTCAAACGATAATGGGATGAGATTAATAAATTTTGCTTCCTCAAGGAACATGGTAGTAGGTAGTACAATGTTTAATCACAAGGATATACTAAGGGCGTTCCATATATAATGCCTCCTATTTTTTTCAAAGAAAACTACAACAGATACAGAAATCATAATAATGCAGTTAAATAGAGCAAGATTTCATCTACTTACAGCTATTTTTCCACATAATCACCACCATTCGTTATGCACTTTTGCCATTGATGAACAAGGGCCTGTATGCTGCACCTGTAAAAGTCTGTGCCAGCAGAGGCTAGCCACTTTCTTACAGCTGCAATGACAGCATTGTTGTCTGGAAAATGTTGCCCACGTAGTCTGTCTTTCTTAGGCCCAAAGAGATGGAAGTCTGAAGGTGCTAAATCGGGGCTATAAGGTGGATGTGGTAGGACAGTCCAGCCAAACTTTGCAATGTGCGCGGTGGTCGCCAAACTGGTATGGGGTCTAGCGTTATCGTGTTGCAAGCGAAAGGTTGTCTGCTTCTCTGGCCTGACTCGGGAAATA